GCAACTGTTGTCCGTTGCATGCTTGTCATTAGCTGCCAAAGTGGAGGAACCTCTGGTTCCTTCTCTTCTGGATCTTCAGGTGATTTTCTAAATCGATTTTTTTTTTATGCTTATTCTTATTTTAATTAGGAACTAATTATTTCTGCAATTTTTGTTTACTAGGTTGAAGGTGCAAAATTTATTTTTGAACCAAGAAATATCCAAAGAATGGAGCTTCTTGTTCTACGTGTATTGGATTGGAGGCTGCAATCCATTTCTCCATTTAGCTTTCTCAGCTTTTTTGCCCACAAAATTGATCCAACAGGAACTTACACGGGATTCCTTACATCAAGGGCAACTGAAATTATTCTGTCAAATATCAAAGGTATTATGATTAAACTTTATAGGACATGTTTGCTCCCGCTTATTATAAAGGACTTGGCCGTCCGATGATTTTAATTGTGTTTAAAAGCTATTTTTTCTTAAAGAAAATAAAGCTCATTTCAGAAATTGTATTTACTTAATTTACTTTTAAGTACGGCCAAACACGCTCCATTGGAAAAAATGAAAATATTTGTATACTTAACTAACATAAATATATAGATTTTGACGTTCAAAAATGGAGGTTTTATATTAGTTATTGCATTTTCTTTTATTCAACAGAGACCAACTTTCTTGAGTATAGGCCATCATGCATTGCTGCTGCAACAATACTTTGTGCAGCAAATGACCTCCCTCATTTCTCTTTAGTTACCGCTCAACATGCTGAGTCATGGTGTGATGGACTTCACAAAGTAAGAAAGATATTCACACTATAATTAGCAGAAAATGCTATTGCCACGTCACTTTGGGTAAAAACCAATCTGATTTTTCGTTTTATAGGACAAAATCACCAGTTGTCGTCATCTAATGCAACAAACCGCGTTCGCTAATAGGCCAAGGAAGCAACCAAAAGTGTTACCTCAGCTCCGAGTAATGACTCGGGCAAGTATCGCATGGAGCGACTCCTCATCCACATCCTTCTCATCCTCGTCACCTTATAAACGGAGAAAGCTAAACAATAGCTTGTGGTTGGATAATGACAAATAAAGCTCAGATTAAGGATGAGGGTTTAAAATAAGAGGAAAAAAAAATTTTAAAAGAAAATGGTTTGTTTCAAAGTTGTCTAGTCTAGAATCCCAATATTTTTTTGGAATGGACTGTGAGATAAAAAAAAATAAAAAAATTGACAAGAGTGATGTAGATAAGGTAGCAGGTGTAATTATGTAAAAAGGTTTGAACAGTTTGGGAGACTTTATTATAAACTTTTTTGGTGGGCATTGCCATTCATTAATATTTATGAATTGGCCATTGCTGGTTCCCTAAGGAAGGGGATTTGGTACATATTATTTTGGTGTGTGAATGAATTGTTTAATATCTAGTGGAGTCATGGTATGAAATGAAAGCAGGAGAGTGACTGAAATCAAAGGCAGCATTAATTGATTATTGAATGACAGGAGAAGGGATTGCGGGACCTAAGAAGCCAATGAAAATCAATGGTGTTGAAAAAAACTTTGAAGTTTTAGCGGTTGATGAAATAAGAGTCTAGCTCCTCTACTAGGCCTCCATCATTCCATCAGCCACCCCCTATTGCAACAAGTCATGGAGAAATCATAAAAAGCAGTGTCGAAAAAAGATTCATGGCTCCATTGAAGTAAGACTTCTTTTTATTATGTGTGATTTGTCTCCACACTTACAGTATTTACGTGTGCTTTTTTCTGCGGGAAGTACCCATTTCTTGATTGTCCTAACGACTCGTGGGACATTATTGTGAGTGATGTTTCGTGCGTGTAACGGATACTCGATAGTATTCTTTTAATTTATTTTTTTCCCCTTTTCTCGATTGGCCTAAAGTTGGCCAAATTATACAAAGGTCTTTGGGGCCTTTTTTGTGAGTGATGTATTTGGAGTTATAATAAAATGGAATATTATTTTACATACATTTTCTTAATTCCCCACCCCTTCCCACCTCACCTCAACCTCCCATGACAATGCCAGGTTTGTTACATGCATGTGATTGACAATGAGATTTTGTAGCTTTGCCATTTGTTTTATATATTACTGAGAAAACTTTTAAACGGAGATGGGGGAATTTTGAGAGGCAATGGGGTGTTTAGGAATTGGTCCCTCAAGCATTTAAAGGACCGATTCAAGAATATGACTCCTTAAACAGTACAATCTCGTGAATGGCCCATGTTTGCTCTCTTATCTTCCCTTGATTTCAGACAAGTATGCCACACCCCCACACACTGGATCTGAATTATGGGACCATGTATTAGAGCCACCTTTCTGTATGTATCTATTTCCATACCCTTATTACTCTTGTCGGCTACTCATAGTAAGTACTAAGTCCTTGTTCAATTTTGATTCGGACCAAGATAGGGAAACATAATGGTTGATATAAGAGATGATCGAACACACACCATGGAGATTGGGCATTATTTAATTCACGTGAGACCCGTGCACTTTGTGAGGTTCGATCATTCCGGGTGTTAAACATTTTCGAGTAAGGTGGTATTTTCCTTTTGATTATTTAATAATCACTTCTCTCCTACATTCGTTTTCGATTAAACATTCTGTAAAAATAAAATCACTTTTCACAATTTTTCATTACTTTTGTTCTACTTTTTATTCACAATTCACACAAAAAATTCAAAGAATTATTTCTCAAAAAATCTTTTATCAACCAAAGGCTAATATTTTTAAAACAAGTACACCTGTTTACCCTGAAAAGTTAAAAGAGAAGATTGCGTGATTGAAAATAAGGGAGAGAAAAAAAATGAAAGAGAATGGGACCTAACGAAATAGAAATTTATCTTTCTTTCTATTGTTCCTCTGCCTACTTCCCCTCAAACTCCCGGATGACTTGGGAATCTAAGTAGTAATGGAGCATTTTATGGGTAAAATTTCTCCTAATTGCTGTGGGTTTCTAATGATAAGAAATTGTTTTTAAATATACATAAAAATTAAGATCAATACCTAACTCAGATGGTAAGAATTCAAAGGCGGCGAAATCCTTTGACATCCTTTTTGAAAAAAAAAAAAAAAAAACATATATAGGAAATTGTGTTCAAACGTAAACATGAAAACTTTGGTGACTTTCCATTATAATGAATAATATTTTAATTTTTTTCTACTTTAATCGTGTTTATTATTGTTCATTCAATGTGTTTTTAAAAATTTTGAACTTTCATTTCACAATGTCAAATTCAAAAATAAAAAAGGCCGGTGGAAATAAAGTTGATGTTCTCACATCCCGACACATTTTAAATTGATTTACATTAAAAAACGTGACGCATTGGACTTTTATATATATATGGTCTATTATATAATTTAGAAAGTACTCCCATTATCAGGATTAATTGTATCCTCACAAACCACAGATATTTTCACGTACCTTGAAACATCAAAAGCTGGTTTAATGGTGGACAATCAAGAAAATACAACTAGGTTGTGACAGAATTTTTGCGAGTAAAGTCATACATTGCCTTCTTGGAATGTTATCTAAATATCAGCTTCTAGAACCCAAAAAATAATAATAATAATAATAAATAAATAAATTTGTATTAATTTGGGTGTGGTCAATTTGTCCACGTGTCAACCCTGAATACGTGTATCTGAATGAGTTTTATGATATGAATCTCATATTCAATAACAATATTGAATTTGCTTGTTGATAAAAATTTAAAAATAAAAAAATACGAACAAAAATTTACAAACATCAGATATGGAGTAGATTGGTGGCTACTCGACCTAATAGGATAACCATTTGGAGTGGAGCCCGTCCCTATAAGTGGTATCATAGCTAAATTCTAAACTTACTCGTATGGATGCACTAAATAAATCTCTAGTTACAGTGGAATGAAGGTGCTGCCACAATGATTCCGATGGCCGGAAAATTCTGTTGTGTCCCAAATTAGTGTGGTCCTTGTTGTAGTAGAATATTTGGGTTTTTATAGTTCGTGTGTCCTTCTCAATTTGAGGAAGAGGGGTAATAAATTCTTGAGAATGAAGCGATATTTTGTCCGAATAGGGGATTATTGGATAATTATGAATCAAAATTTGACATAGATTATGTTATTTATTGATAAGAGGATTGAATTACTCCAAAATAATGAAAACTGAGAATAAGTTTTAGGATATCTGCTAAGATTAATTCTATGATTGATACTAATTTTGAGACAAACTCGAGATATACACAATCGACATTGATATGGACAAGACTTTTTAAAATTGTTCCACTTTATGAGAATCCTTTTTCCCATAATTAATACAATGTTATCTTAAATCAACCGGAGCCATGAAGTTTTAGAGCATCTTGGAGATTAATCCAAAAAATAATAATAAAAATAAAATAAAATAAAATCTTGTTAACTTGTTCATATTTCGCAAGTGGACTAATATTTAAAACACAAAAGGATAATCGACAATACGAAAAGTTAAGACAACAACATTTGTAAATAAGTATTAATTGATTCAACAAAAAAGATTTTTGCACGGTACAAATACTTGTGAATAGAGCGTATGTGTTTGTTCGAGCATTGTCCGCAATGTAGTATTTTAGATATTTTTGAGAAACGCAGCGACAGTACAAAAGATAAGAAAAATGAAGAAAGAAAACACAAATTTATGTAGTTCCCTAAATTATTTACATCCAAGTAATAGGAATATTCACTTCATATTTTCTCACTATTTTTCTCTCTCTCTTTTTCCTCGCCTCTTCTTTCCATTTCGGTTATCCTTTTCATTCCTTGATATGCAACAAGATCTCATCTTACTTTTGCCCCCAGGGCACATCTCCAAGTGGTAAAAGGGGAGGGTGGAGAAATCCAGCTTTGCTTGAGACTGCTGCGTCAAGGGTTCGAATTCTGAAATATGAATTTGGCTCTTGGGTAAGTGCAAGTGTACAAGCAGCCTTCCACCGTGTACCCTTAGAGGCATAACCTGTGATTTACCTCTCTTACGATGTTCCAGGACAGGAGCGGTGGGGGACCCTTAAGGTTGGGGTTCAACCTTTTTTTAGATCTCGTCTTACTTTTTATTGCAGGCAAAAATATTTTCCTCTTTCTTTTTGCCATGTGTAAGTTTTTCCTTCTCTTGTTTCCTTTTGGTCTACCACGTTTTTTTCATTTTTGTTCTTTTTAAAATAAAAATAATAATTTAAATATGAATCAATATCCAACAATTTCTTTTATTTGAAGAGGTAGATTGTTGGGAAAGAGTGAATAAGATCCTACACACATGGGATGGAAAATGAGTTTATAAGGGATTGAGATACTCAACCTAATATGTTAACCTTTTCGGATGGAACCCTATTCCCTTTAGGAAACCCCTTTATCAAGTCAAGTGATCTCAGTTTCAAGTTGGATCAATTTACTTAAAGAACAGGAAATAAAAAAGTCCCATGGGGTGTTGTGGTCTATGATAAGCAGAAACATATTTCTGGTGGTTGTCTTTGAATGGATATGATAAAAACAAAGGTTACTAATATTTCTTTCTGCAATTTATCTTTTTGAAGATTAAAAACGTTAAAATTTCTCACTTCCATCCACACTAATAACATCAATGGTAAATTTTATTGATGTAGTTTCACCGCTGAACTCTTTGCTACGGTTGAGCGACTGATCCACATCTGAATATTTGTCGTGCCTTTAATTGTAATATGCTAAAGGCTTCTGTCAAAAAATTTAGGTTCACTAGTTACGAGTACGTTTTTCATCATAGAATGGGAAGGTTGAAACTCAAATGCGGGTGACGTCACTTATAAAATTTGTTGGAAAAGAGAAGAAATTAATCACATTCTTCATAATCAGAATACTTTACTTCCCCTAGTTTTTGTTTATTGTGTTTACATTTTCAAGTGATGAGCATCATTAGCTGGTAACTTGGATACCTCCATTGAAATTTTTGTGAGAATTTTGGTTAGTTTATTGAAAAAAGGGAAATTTGCTTGGAGATGGACCATCTGCCAACTTATAACGGTCTCTACTTTCTATGCACAAGGAAATAGTAAAATCTTACAAGTCTTAGTAATTAATAACTTAACATCCTATTAAAATTCTCGTATGATTGATATGTGTGGAAGCAAAAGGTTGATTTTTGTATCATCCTTTTGTAGTATTATGTGTTGTCATATTTGGTTATCTTTCTCGCTGGGATGTTGGAATTTTGTTGTCTTCTGGGGTCCCTCTTTCAGAAACTATCCTGGTAGATATATGCATTTATAAGTAGATACACAGATGTATCTCGGCATTTTCTTCTTAACCTGTCTACTCTATTTGTCGCAGTTATTCTTGTAAACTGTACTGCTGATGTTTTAAAATTAATTGAAATCAATGAAATGTATGGTTCCTTCAAGATGTTAACGGGTCTTGATGTGGAAATGTTTTATTCGTCGAATCTTGAAATGAATATCTTATATCACAATGGATAAAGGAACAGTATTCCTACTATTTTGACTGTTCGTGATGTCTCGAGCCTTTTTAAATAAATGGTCCCTGCAAATTGAATTTAACTTGATTGTTTAAAATTAACTAGTGTCAATGTTTTCTCTATGATAACAGATATTCAGCAGAAAAAATAAAAATAAAAATAAATCCCGGTTGCTCGTGCTTCCTTGTTATGGGCTCAAAATTATGTCGGTCGGGATTGGGAGAGATGGATCTCCAAATTACGCAAATAATAGCCTCTTCCTATTCTATATCTCCAGTATCTTCTTTGCTCAATCTGTCAAAGCCTCGAAAATAAATATGTTGGTGGGTTGCAATTTCATGAGAAAATAGTACTGTCGTCAAGAATTTCATTTAGTGACTATTTTTTGCCATACAAAAGGTGTTATAACTCAGAATATGACAAGTTCAGACTCGTAATTGACATTGTTATAGAAATGTTTGATCATCGTCCATGTTTTTACTCTATCTATCTCTGTTCCAGGCTTGAAAATCCACTTGAATGTATAAAGTCTGACGACTCAGAAATGCTTTGTAGAGATGGACGCCAGGACTTGGCCCGTCTTGCTGTGAAATTCGTTGATCCTGACAACCTTTGCTGATGTCTGTCATGTCTCGTGACCTGAAATTGGCAATTTATTCGTAAGTACCCTTAAGAACAGAATCGAAAAAGCCGTCTCTAAATGAATGAATTGCTTTGTAGCATTTTTCCCCCTCTCAATTGTGGACTAATTTTCGTTTTTCCAGTCCGATTTGTTAACAATCTACTGCTTTGTGTACAATTCACCATGCTCTCTTCATTATATTCTTGTATCTATAAAGCTATGCAGAAGATAATCAAAACATAGAAATTGCTTATTTAGATTACCTGATCGTTCTTTTCTGATGCAGGTTTTCGTGTTTTGGACTCTCTACTGGAACATTGCTTATCTGAATCTACCGGCAACTGCTCACCAGATTTTGGTTGGTTTTCCTTCATCTTTGCATACTTTTTTGCCTTCAGAACTTGCATCACTTCTATATGTCAAAAAGAATAGACATTAAACGTTAAACTTCCTCTTACCACAAAATCACTAAGATTATCCAGCCTCTTCAAGAACTAACCTTGTGTGGTGACAAGTCGATAAGCCCGTCCGAGGACTAAAGTATCAGTGGGCCGTAGAAGCTTAACACGCGTAAAACGTGCAGTCTTGTCATCGGAATTCTCTTTGCCGGAGATTGACAATGGAATTATCAAAGAAACATAATGCCCTGGATTCATTTTCATCACCTCACTAGCCGTTATCGGCCAGTACATTCTCTCTAGTTTTCCTCCTGGATGTTGTATTACAAGTACTGCAGCATCTACAGTTTGACAATTCCCCATCTATTTCTTATTCTCTCTCTAAAGTATTTCCGATTCTCTCTCTAGAAATGATTATGAGCAACAGAAGAAGATGAAGAAAGAGATGAGGAGAACCCACCACCCCTCAAAGTGGTAAAATAAGTATATCACACTCCAAATATGTTGTCCCTCTCCCAAATAATGTAATTATAATTTTGATTTTTAAGTATCATTAATTTCGTCAACTTGTATATAGTAATGGTAATTTAAGAACAGGATCAATATATGTAAATCATTAAAGTTAACGTTGTTTCAATGGTTGCCGGCAGGGTTGCTTGGATACTGGTGAAATGGTCACGTGGAGGTAGTGGATTTTGGAGGGTTGTGCTCGGCCGTGTCGACCAGGTCAAGATTTAGATTTGTATTTTATTTTTATAGTTGTTGAAGTTACAAATATAAATAATTTTTTTTTTATTTAATTATCCGATGAAGTTTTGTGTATAAGTTTTAAGCATTTCAAATTTTGAATTCGAGATCGTAAGTGTTGTCTCAGTGGCTATCATTGTTTACATAGCTAGATGATGAGATTTGATATCTCGAATTAGAGTCATGTTGTTCGCATATCATGAGCTCGTTGATGGTTGCCATGTCGGTGTCCCCATAATCGTCAAACTTTATTCTATTTAAAGTATTCGCTGGATTTTGTTGAGTCAAAAAGCTTGTTAGAAAGTATTTATAAATGGTTTAAATTATAAATAAATATAAATGAGTGATATATAAGTGACTAGTAATTGTGGATTCATCGAAGTTTGTAGATAAAAAATGACTGTAGCGTTTTTGAACAACTTAAAATTATGAGCCAAATATAGGCTTTAGTCAAATTTTCATAAATATTTTTGACACAATTTGTAAAGTGATAAAATTAGGCATTTCATTAGAAAACATTATTTAATTTAAAGGATCACTTTGAAACAAAATAGAGTCACTTGATGAACAACAAACTCATAGTTCCTTCAATTATAAACTAAAATCAAATTATTGAGCTATGACACAATCAAATTTGAACAAGCGAAAATATTTTTTTTCTATAAATTGAATGAGTCGCAACTGTATATGAACATTGTGCGTGTGTTAGACTGTTAGTGAAATATAGTTGGATCAATGTGGGAGGAAACATGTTAAATATGAAATTTTCTATTAATAGTTCAAACTTCTAGGTAAATTAGTTTAACATTAATAACTTAAATTTATAAATAGGTGGTGATTTTTAATTGATTAATTTTTGAGATACCTATGAAGTAAAATAAGAATGGAGTCAATTTTGTCGACAGCCGGCCAAATAAGTATCACTCAACATTTTTTCACCTTTTTTCTTGAAAGAGTGACTCTAAAGAATATGCTTACTAATTATCACACGTTTACCACCTCTTTTAAAACTAATAATGAATGATTATTCAGCAAGGTAGAATTATAAGTTAGAATATACTTATAATTGTATCTAGTCTATAGTTCTCATGAGTTCGGTACGGAGTTATGGAACATTAATATGGAATTTTAATGGCATGAAACTAGTGTATAATTGTAAGATTTTACTGTCAAGAAGAAAATTATAATGAACCGACCCATTTACTAATTATTTGATTACTAATCCTTTATTTTCAAACGGATGAAGGGTCACTTGTTTTGTCAATTCCTCGTGAGGTGATGAGTCAAGAGAATTTTGAATCAGAGTATATTGTCCTAATTTTCTCATACAGCGGGTCTACTATCTCCGTCGACCTTATCATTAAGGACAATCATTGATTGAGGAACAAATGTACAGTGATTGGATTTTACACAGTCCGATCAACAAAAAGCAATAAATTCAAATATGTCAACTAGTGACTTGTGTTAATTGTGGTCGAAATTTGACCATCGACTTTAATTTTAGCAACACAACAAGCCCTAAATCTTGCATAAGATCTTTGACTCTTGTAGATCAAATTCACCTTAAATTATTCAAAAACCTGGGCTTTGATGAGATCTTCACCCACCTCCAATTCATGTCAGTTTATGTAAGCCATGTGAGGTGTTGAGGATATTAGTTTCAAAACATTATATACTAAAAAACTGAAGTATTTCTTGTTCAAACATGACCTAAATTGGGGACTGCAACAATCTATAATAAACAATATTTTTCTTAACTTTTTATGGATAGTTATTGATTAATTAATTAATTAATTAATTAATTAATTAATTAGATGATGAAGATCTTGGTTTTCTACTGTTTGGACAAATTTTATTAGGAAATTCAAGTTGTAAATTGTTTTATATATGATTGTAAAATGTTGGTGCAACATTTGTTAGGACACGAATGTTTGTTTGTGGGATTACTCCAATTTAATTTCTTGTTTACTCATTGGAACCTAACAAATGTCTAGTTTTTGCTTTCTTCACATTCTTTTTTCAAGTATAAAGTTTAAGAAAACCATTGTGTATTATGTATCTTAAAGAATGTCCAAAGGCAGAAGAATTAATAATTTGAAGTGTTTAAGATTCAATATTCGACCTATTTTAGTTTTTGTATCATAATTCAATTCAAATTTATGGAGTTACTCTAATCTGTAACTTCAATGAAATCGGAATAGTTCTGTACTACGTTAGTATGAAATCAAATCGATAGTTTAAGCAATCATTATTTAATATGCATATTCTGTCCGAAGACAACGGAATTAATAATTTGAACTGTTTTAAGATTCAAGAAGTTTGATGTTTCTATTGTTAACTGTTAAGTATGCAACACTTCACTAGAAATCTAAAATAAGTCAAACTGAAATTGTCTGACCAAAAATTTTAATCCGACATGGATTTTGTTTATAGGTCAGTTGGGGTCCTTTTCGCAGGACTTTTGATAGGTAAGAAGTTATTTGGATAATTTTTTGAAAGCGTTTTATTCAAATATAAGAATTTTCAGAATAAGCTGACTTAAGTTAATTTTCTCATGAAGTTCTTATACAAGAAGCAAAAATAGAAGCATGCCAAATAGGCCCTTAGACGGCTAGGAAATTAGGACATTTGTGAGGGAATTGTTTAATTAATTGCCAACTTTGCAAAATAATTTTCAAATTTTGCTAGTAAATGTTTTAGCTAAATCCCGTCTCTATTTTGTAATTAATCATAAAATACGTTGCCAGACTCTTGTTTATAACCATAGATATTTTATGTTCTAAGATGAAACACAAGAAAAAGAACTTGAAAACTATTTGTAACATTATTGATTAGGTAGAAACATGTCTACTAAATTAATGAATCTAGCACTATAACTGGTCTTCTTGCCTCCTATGTTTTCATGTCAATGGCATGTCTGTCTCAATTACCTTTGAATGTTTGTTTGTCTTGTAATTTGCCTTTATCAGACCATAATTTTGTATTGCATCTTCTATACTAAATAATTTTCAGCACTATCCCTTTTAATTTTGTTGGTTTCCCTAGTGCCAAAGATAGGTGGTTTGGCAAAATGCCTACTTTATTTCCTGAACTGGGACTCTATTTCGTCTGCACGATTAGATGGAAGAGAAGATATCGATCTTGACCTTGATACAGAATTAAACTGTTAACAATAATGAATTATGAATTATATCATCCACGTCCAAATTAGCAAAAACAATATCTCCCATGAATCAGATCCCAATCTATTGTTCTTAATCGTTATTTCACATAAGTTTCATAAAGAAAATAATCGTCTGAAAATTTTAAAAAATAAAGTTCCGATTAAATTATGACTTTTAGAAATAAAAAGGGAATAGGATGATCAAATATGCAAGGACCATGATTAAAAATCTTTCGTTCGAAATACTCCTAACAGTCAAAGTTTTCGAAGACTGGCCAGATGTGAACTCTTTCCTGCTATAGATAGTCAAAACTAATACTTGCAGCTTCCCAGGTTTTTTGGGTTTTGGAATAAACGATTTATTGTACGCAATTTATTTCCATATATTTTTTATTTCGATAGCAAGAAAACCTCTCCAATAACTGGAGAAAAAAGGTGGAAAGTTTACTGCTATTCATAATTTCCTGTTGTGGAACTAAATAAATTCCAAAATCCATTTCATCGTCAAGTGGCGACAACCGTCTTTTTGATTGGTACTGCCTTTTCAACTCAAAAGATGCTAAAGCTATTTATAGTTGGTATTTTCTGAAGGAAAGCATCTTCTGAACTCACTTTGTTCAGGGTGGAATTTTAGATTCAATAACTTGATTTATAATAGAAAGTCGTCTCTTTGTGTGTTATCTGTGTTGCTTCCTTAATTACCTGTGCAGATATTAAATGGTGAGAATAATGTAATTCACAGTCGAATAATTTTCCCAGTTGTAGCCACTGAGGTGGTCGATTTTGTTTCTTTAATAAAATTATTGATCCACATGAACTAAATGACATACAACACAACTTACTTGCGGGATCATGTTAGATGACGAAAATATTCTGCATGTCGAGCATGGGTATGAGCCATGTCAAGCTCGACATGAAACCATAATTTGAGCTGAAAGAAATATACGAGTCGAGCCAACTTAACTCGGTCCATTTTAGAGCTCTAATTTCTGATGACTTAATATTGTACCACAATCAGTATATCAGAAAATAGAAAATTATCAAGATACTTTGAAAAATTCTCAAAACTTCAATGTCCTCACATTTGAATCTTTAAAATTGCTAGAATTGACTTCCCCAGTGAAGTTAACTACAACTTAAATCCATTGTTTATCATACTTTTTAAGGTTTTCCTCTTCAAATCATCACTCACCAGCATTACGAGCTTGCAACCTCTTCCTTTCGAGCTCAAGCTGAACAGAACAACAAGTAGAATAAACGAGGTGAATGAAAGAATAAGTCTCATACTAAGGGCCCTATCGGCACTTCTATTTTTCATAGAAGTGCTTTCCGAGGAAGCTATCTTGAGCCAGCTTCTTCTAAAAGCTCTTCTAATAAAACAAAACACTTACCCTCTTCAAATCATCACTCACCAGCATTACGAGCTTGCAACCTCTTCCTTTCGAGCTCAAGCTGAACAGAACAACAAGTAGAATAAACGAGGTGAATGAAAGAATAAGTCTCATACTAAGGGCCCTATCGGCAAGGCTTCAACTTCTATTTTTCATAGAAGTGCTTTCCGAGGAAGCTATCTTGAGCCAGCTTCTTCTAAAAGCTCTTCTAATAAAACAAAACACTTATGTGAATTGTTCAAACAAGTCAAAAAGCAACTTTTTGACTTCAAGAAGCAGTTTTTGACTTTTCAAAAACCCTACCAAACATGCCCTAAAATAACTTTCGGAGTAACTTAAGTTTTAGGGTCTTTACCACTTTCCGAACACGTTCATTGGCAGGAGGAGTTCCTCCAGTAACAGATTCAGGAAGATATGGAGGGCTAAGGCGCACTTCATTCATCACAACTATGGTGGTCTTGTCCCAACAAACGGGAAGCCTGATTTCATGAACAAGGGCATATGTCGTCAAAAAACAGATTATAAGATGGATTTGTATGTCAAAATAAAGTTGTACCACAAAACAAATTAGAGCAATCAGAATCATTTCCGTCAAGGTCAACAAAGTCTAATAAGACACAAACTTGACATAAGAAGAGGAGCTCAGACAGATCCATTTAAAATTGGATACCGACTTTCTGTTACTGAATTGAAGATGACGGTCTTTTTCCCCACACATCGAAACAATTTGAAATAGTAAATTTGTGAGTTGAAGATTCATGCAATCTAAAACTAAGTACTGGTATAAAAAGAGTATGTTATCCAGAATTACGACAAGCTATAGCTTCACCAATCAGAACAGTAACTGTAAATGGTCCTAAAAGATGCAAATGCATACAATACAAACATTTATTCACCTACGCCGCAGACAAAGCAGTTTATTGCCACCATCTGAGTCAACAAAATATAGGCATTTCCACAATTTTATTCTCAACGTATGAATTCCTGGACATGGTGTAACTTTAAGAAATGTATACTAATAAATTACGATTATACTACTTGTACATAAAAATGGTACATAAGGTATTACATAAAATGATGTGGAGGAAAAAGATTAGCTGAAAAAGTTAATTGTGTTTTAAATTGACAAATGATATAGTGACATGTGATATTATGTAATCCATTGAGTAAAGCTTGATATACATGTAGCAAGATCCAATAAATTATGTACCCCTGTAAGCCAACAGACAAATGAAGGTGAAGAGTACTTAGGCCTACATAAAAATATTCCTTTGGCGAGGAGATAGAAGATGTTATATTTGAGTCATTTGATTTATAAAAGCAAGGTATATCATACAAGAAACCCCATTAGACCGTCATTTTTTTAAGATTCTAGACAATATAAAATAACCTATATATATGAAGAGTATGAAATGATTATGTTCATGCAGAGAAGCACAGTGTATTTCGAATTCCTTTATCCATATTTCAAAATGTAGTTTGTCTTCATTTAAGAAAGAGCAAAATAAAATCATTTTTGGCACTACATTAGAAAGAGACAGGATGAACAGGTGCTCATGGTCACGACTACAAGCAGGCACTATCTCTACCAAAAATAATCAAATGATTTACAAAATTAACAAGTTCTATTATTTATGTCAAAGAAGTAACAAATTGAGCTAACCAAATAACAATCACTAAAGAAGATCAATCTCATTATCAGCTTTGATTTTATTATTTTCTGGTTAGCTTAGCCTTCGACTAAACATTCAGACTGCATGCTTTAATTCTCATGTTGAAAATGCATGGACAAAAGCACACAAGCATGTAAATCATAGGACTACAAAGAAAACCGTGTGAGGTAGGTCACTACATCAAGTTGACAAAGTAGCATAGTTTGGGCGTCTTGTAAATAAGAACTCATCATCCTTTAATTCAAATAATTTTAAATGCTGATGTGCATCTACTAGCTAAACGTTCAAACTGCTTCCTTTGATTCTCTAGTTGAAAATGCATGGACAAGAATAGACAGCGTATAAAACATAGGACTGAACCAAGTCGACATATTACTTTATAACTGAATCAAGGGACACCGCAGAAGTAGGTCACTACATCAAGTTCAGAAAGTATAGAGTTCAACATCTCTTGAAAATCAGAATCGGATCATCCACGAAGATAAAGGTCAAAACATATCAAGGTCAAGCTCAGAAACAAGAAGCTGAGTTTCATAAGAAATGAATTTCTAGTAACGCATAATAACTTAAGAAAAATGCAAACTATACAAGGCCTATAGTTAGTGTAGGAAGTTAGTTTCTAACAGATTACCTGCATCCATGAGTTTAGGAATACATCTCAGATTGGTTAAATCAATCCAAGATTTAGGGGATAAGTTTTGCTAGTTCAGTTCCTATTTTTATGTTTCTGTTGTACCTGAGAATCCACTATTTAGACTGGCCTTTGTAAACATTTTGATTATACAAGAATCAAATTCTTCTTTCAGCAGTGTTATTTATTATTTCCTTTCCAGTATTTGTGACATGGTATCAGCGTAGGCACTGTTGAAAGAAGAATAAACTCGTGGCTGAACAGGCCACCAGGTTAAGCAACGAAGGGAAGAAAAGTGGTTCTACATAATCATCATCTTCACCAAGCCTTACAAATAACCCCACTGCTTCCTTTGATCACTCCTCTTCCCAAATCACCTCTTATAAACACAATGGAAAATTTTTTATTCCAATGGTCTCGGTCAGTTCAAATGGTAATACGAGGGAGAGGCAAAATTCGGATATCTTGATGGATATACCACAAAACCTCAACTCACTGATCCTACCTACTCAACGTGGGACACCAATAATGCCCTTGTGATGTCGTGGCTTATTAATTCCACGGAAGAGCATATTGTGTCCATGTATCTTGTCCACACTACAGCCAAAGAAATTTGGGACACAGTCAAACTCTCCCATTCGACCTAGAAAATCTGCTCAGCTTTGCAAAGTGAGAGATCACGCCCGAGAGCTCAAACGAGGAAGTATGGCCGTCACCAAGTATTATACAGCCCTTACCAGATTTCAGCAAGAGCTGGATCTGTTTAAACCAAAAGACTGGTGCAGCGAGTGTGCTGAAAAATATAGAAAGTTTGTCGAAAAAACCCGTACCTATGATTTTCTTGCGGGACTCAACAAGGAAC